TTTCTTGTTTTCCTCTTCTATAACCTAGGTGGTTAGGTGTGTTTTATGGAGCGAAAAATACAGTAACTGTTGGTAAATTGTAGAGATTTGTAAATACAATAAATATACCTGGCCTGGTCTTCTTTCATTTTCCCAATATGTTCCGAGTATCAGCTCCCATACTGTTACAATTGCCTCCCGAGTACCTTGTTCAGCAGAACAAAAACTCCTTTTTCCTGGCAGATTAGCCCTAATTTTGGCAGAGAAGGATCAGCATTCATTCGTTTTTATCCAATTTATTCACTTCAATTAATTTTGTGCATTAGGGGATGTGATTAGCGAGAGCCGGGTCAGCCATTAGCTGGAGTAAAGGTTCCGTTTCAGGACAGGACTTCTGATTATCCAGGATTAGGGTTCGTGATGTGCCGGTCGGGTTCACGGGATAGTAATTAGCGAGTCTACAATTAGGGGTCAAGGCTCGGGATCTTCAACAGGCACTAGATATTATGATATACTGTTATTCAAAATTGGGTTTTGCGATTCTTTTTGTATTTGAATTTTGTCCAAAAAAATGTTTTTTCCCTTTTTTTTCCTAAATATGCTTTGGTCAGTAAAGCAAACCTGTCACTGTAATACCAGAACTATATACAGTATATTATTATACAGGGTCATACAAAGTATAATGAGTACAAATTAACATTTAGATATGTTAGATATCGTGTACAGAGGCGGACTGAGAACTCATGGGGCCCCCGGGCAATAGGGGATCATGGGGCCCCTGTGTCCTTGCCCACACTCAAAAAAGCCTATGAAAAAGGTACCAGGGGCATCTCATGGGGCCCCCTACTGACCCCAGGCCCTCGGGCAGCGCCCGAGTTTCCAAATGGTCAGTCCGCCCCTGATCGTGTATTATAGTGCATTCAAGGTATACACCGATCAGCCGTAACATTGTGACCACTGTTCTGTCCTCTCTACAGGTTTCCCTGTGTGTAACTCAACATGCAGCTACACCCTCCTATTCTGCAATAAGCCGGACTGAATGTAATCTGGAAGCTTTATTACCTAAACAGTGAAATGATTAGGCTGTAGATGGCAATGAGTCCGTGCCCACCAGCGATGCTGCCTGTAGGGGATGTACGTTCAGTCCATTACATGTGCTGCAGAGAATTATGAATGGTTCCTTTACCTCAGCTCTTAAAGCGGAGTTCCACCTGGAAAAAAAAAAAAAATAACAGTCAGCAGCTACAAAAACTGTAGCTGCTGACTTCTAAAATATGGATTTATTATTTATTTCAGGTACTTATATAGCGCCATCAATTTACGCAGCACTTTACATATATATTGTACATTCACATCAGTCCCTCACCCTCAAGGGGTGTACAATCTAAGGTCCCTAACCCTCAAGGGGCGTACAATCTAAGGTCCCTAACCCTCAAGGGGCGTACAATCTAAGGTCCCTAACCCTCAAGGGGCGTACAATCTAAGGTCCCTAACCCTCAAGGGGTGTACAATCTAAGGTCCCTAACCCTCAAGGGGTGTACAATCTAAAGTCCCTAACCCTCAAGGGGCGTACAATCTAAGGGGTCCCTAACCCTCAAGGGGCGTACAATCTAAGGTCCCTAACCCTCAAGGGGCGTACAATCTAAAGTCCCTAACCCTCAAGGGGCATACAATCTAAGGGGTCCCTAACCCTCAAGGGGCGTACAATCTAAGGTCCCTAACCCTCAAGGGGCGTACAATCTAAGGTCCCTAACCCTCAAGGGGCGTACAATCTAAGGTCCCTAACTCACATTCATACATACACATACTAGGGACAATTTAGACAGGAGCCAATTCACCTACCAGCATGTCTTTGGAGTGTGGGAGGAAACCGGAGTACCCGGAGGAAACCCACACAGGAACAGAGAGAACATGCAAACTCCAGGCAAGTGGTACCATGGTTGGGTTTCGAACCAACGACCCTAATACTGCCAGGCGGAAGTGCTAACCATTTAGCTACTATGCTGCCCATAAAATACAGCCACTTACCTGTCCCGTGGTCCAGCGGTGTCCTCAAAATCGCTGGTTTCACTGTCCGTCTTCTGTCCCTGGCATCTTCAGTGTGGGCTTGTGGCTTCACAGATGGGTGCCCACTGCGCATGTACGAGTAGAGCTGCGCTTTGTGAATGGTCCTGTAGTCGTCTGGGACCTGTCACAGGGAGGGGGGAGGAGAACTTCCTCTTCAGTCAGTCGCCTACGCGATCGCAGCGGAAGTGGGAGCGGGTACCTGTCAAAATCGGGTACCCGCTCCCCCCTCCCCCCCCCCCTCCCCCAAAGGTAAAGTGGAGTTCCACCCAAAAGGGAAAGTTCCGCTTTAAAGATTGGTCCCCCGCTCCCCTGTGACAGCTTGAGGAAAGTGCAGCCGATAACCGGCAACTGCATTTGTTGTCATTGGACCAGGGGCGGACTGACCATTTGGAATCTCGGACACTGCCTGAGGGCCCGGGGTCAGTAGGGGGCCCCATGAGATGCCCCTGGTATCTTTTTCATAGACTTTTTTGAGTTTGGGCAAGGACACAGGGGCCCCATGATCCCCTATTGCCTGGGGGCCCCATGAGTTGTCAGTCCGCCCCTGCTCCAGACTGACATTTAGCCATCAAGGTGTTTGCACAACTTCTCCCAAGAGCCATCCCACTGCTTTCATCAGGACTGAGAGGGGGCAGGGTGCTTTGATGGTTTCAGTACGGCACCCTGCCGGCTCCTCCCACCAGCCACGCTTGGCCTACATTGCATAGAGAAACACAGAGACCCAATGATGACAACGCTAGGTCTAAAATTAGGTACGTCATGAAAATGGAACAAATTTAATTAAAAATGTCATTGGCATGTTGATGAAGGGGGAGCCAGGGAAGGCAAAATCTAAGCAGATTAAACTTCAGCATTGCACTACTTCACCTGCTCCCAGGCGGTTGGGATTATGTGAAGCCCAGGGGCGGACTGACCATTTGGAAACTCGGGCACTTCCCGTGGGCCCAGGGTCAGTAGGGGGCCCCATGAGATGCCCCTGGTACCTTTTTCATAGGCTTTTTTGAGTTTGGGCAAGGACACAGGGGCCCCATGATCCCCTATTGCCCGGGGGCCCCATAAGTTGTCAGTCCGCCCCTGCATTGGACACAGCGGATCACATGGTAAAAGGCCGCTGCGATTGGCCCTTTACCACATCACGTGATCACTATGTCCAACGAACACAGCGATCACAGAGATCACCAGGTGCACTCCCCCCCCCCCGGGGGCGTGCAGGAGGGCACGTTCTGGGAGGACGTCATAAGAACTGGACAACCGGCCCTGTAGCGTTCATTCGGCTATAGCGTGGTTGGCAAGTGGTTAAATAAATTTCAGTTAGCGTGTTCAATACTTTTTCCCTGTCATTCCATTTTATTACACGTACCTTAACTTCTGAACTCATTTGTTTCGGTTTCTTTGCATGTACGGACTGCACGGGTTGTTACCGACATGTGGTGAATGTTTCATGTCAACAGCACCTGTAGAAATATATTTACTGAGAAAAATGTTGTCTTCAGGACTTATTGTACCCGCTGTATGCGTCTTTCATTTATTGTGCCCACAGTCCCACTTTAACGCAGCTGCAGCTCTTTCTGGACGGCATTAGCTGTTCTCTTGATTTTCACTTGTCACCTCAAGATGCTCTTTAACTCCTCACGCAGATGGGTGACTTCTTGTAGGCATGGATGACAGGTACACTTAAAGAGGGGAATGCGAAGTGTAATTAGTTTGCCAAGCGATCACAATGCCGGGTAATTAGATGGCACAATCATGGCCTGTATTCATCTCCGAACAGCTTGTCGCGTTCTGGATGGTTATTTTTCACATACAGAATTTTGGATGATAAACCTCCCCGTGTTGTGACAATTGCCGGGTATAATGTAACACTGTCAGCCCAGGTGTTCAATTCCACTCTCCATAGGCAGCTAATGGCGGCAGCAAAATGATCCGATTAACCCTCGTCTCCTCCGCTTCTGGACACGGTGGCCCAAATGTCGCCCTGCATTAAACAATTCAGTGTTTTATATTCAATTCTATCGGAATTCAAAATCAATGTCATTTTATCATTCCGCACAAAAATAGTGTATTTTCTTAAAGCGGTATTAAGCCCAAAACCCAAAAATGTAGAATATTGCGGCTTACCAATCATTAGATGGGGTGGCTGCATTCGTTTTATTTTTTAGTCTTTTTTCCCCTTCTGTTTTCATCTGACCAGTAACACACCTCCTGTATAAGGCTCAGTTCACACTAGCTTTGTCAGCAGGCATCAGACAGGCGTTTGGGAAGCATTTTTAATGCTTCTCAAACGCCTATGAAATTATGCACATGGCAGCACACAGTGCTGTTCACAGGGAAGCATTAGCGTCGCGGCAAAACTGTCGCCTCGTGTTGAGTCAGGAGGAGTTGAAGCCTCCCATTCCAGTCTATGGTGCCACTCGGTTCGGTTCCGGAGCGTTAATACCATTTAACTTCATCATAGGCATGTGGTGCGGTTCTAATGCTTGGCAAACGTCTATCAACCGCCTCAAAACTGCTCATGGGGGCGTTTGGGGAGCGCTTGAGGAGCGTTAAAAAATACTTCCCAAATGCCTGTCAAACACTATAGGGGCGTTTGGCAAGAGTGAGTGTGAACAAGTGTGAATGAGCCCTTAGAGCGCCCCCACTCTGGATGAAGGAGCACAGGGGGTACCTTTGGACAGCAGCATTGTCAGTCTTGGGGGAGGGTAATGTTAGATGGACTAGCAGATTTAAATACACTAACAAATTGAAGCCAAACTCCAGCTAATCAGTTACAGCAAACAGTTTTGTTCCTGTTGGGATAAAAGTTTTACATCGATAAAAGCTGATCATTGAAAGCACCCCTGCAAGGGTGGAATTGTTTGCCTCATCCTTGTAGCTGATACACTCTGTGTTCTCTCTTTCTTTTGAAAAACAACAGACTCCTCCCCTTCAGTCTTGCACAGGTGTACCGGCTCCACCCCTTCAGTCTTGCACAGGTGTACCGGCTCCACCCCTTCAGTCTTGCACAGGTGTACCGGCTCCTCCCCTTCAGTCTTGCACAGGTGTACCGGCTCCACCCCTTCAGTCTTGCACAGGTGTACCGGCTCCACCCCTTCAGTCTTGCACAGGTGTACCAGCACCTCCCCTTCAGTCTTGCACAGGTGTACCGGCTCCACCCCTTCAGTCTTGCACAGGTGTACCAGCTCCTCCCCTTCAGTCTTGCACAGGTGTACCGGCTCCACCCCTTCAGTCTTGCACAGGTGTACCAGCACACCCCTTCAGTCTTGCACAGGTGTACCAGCACCTCCCCTTCAGTCTTGCACAGGTGTACCGGCTCCTCCCCTTCAGTCTTGCACAGGTGTACAGGCTCCCCTTCACTTGCACCTTCAGTCTTGCACAGGTATGTACCTTCAGTCTTGCTCAGGTGTACCGGCTCCTCCCCTTCAGTCTTGCACGGCTTGTCCCCTTCAGTTTGTACCGTGTACCGGCTGCTCCCCTTCAGTCTTGCACAGTGTACAGGCTGCTCCCCCTTCAGTCTTGCACAGGTGTACAGGCTCCTCCCCTTCAGTCCTGCTCAGGTGTACCGGCTCCTCCCCTTCAGTCTTGCACAGGTGTATCGGCTCCTCTCCTGGAATGAAATGGCTTCCTCTGATTTCACTGCACACTGTGAGCATCTTACATTGTGCATTAAAAGCTGCAGAAAGTCAGATAGAGCTCCGTTTCATTTCCTGGCTGGCGCCCAGCATCATCTAGCCCAGTGGTCTCCAAACTGTGGCCCGAGGGAAGGATGTGGCCCTTTGCTTGCCTTTATCTGGCCCTTGGGGCACTATTCCACCAGCTGAAATCAATGATGGAGCACCATTCCCCCTACTGACACCATCAATGGGGGACTATTCTTTTCTTCAGAATCAGCAATGGGGCCCTGTTCTTCTCATTGGTATCAACAACAAGGCACTATTCCTCCCATTAAAACCAATGATGGGCGCTGTTGCCAGGGTTTTTCTACTTCCACTGCCGTGCCACCCCCCCTCTCCGCTAAACAACAACCTGGCCCTTTACTTAGAAAGTTTGGAGACCCCTGATCTAGCCCTTTCCTCCCCAGCCTGACTGCCCCTGGCCCCGCCCCTTTCATTCATTGGATCTCAGTGCTTTCAATCATAAAGGCTCAGCATCACATGTGGGAGTTATCTAGCACAGTCTGCATGTAAACGCAGCCTACCTAGGGACAACTGCTCCTCCAGGACTGACATTAATCCATCAAGGCACTTTGAAAAATGCTGCTACCCCCTGAAAAATGCCACCCTAGGCAAATGCCTTGTTTGCCTTGTGGTAAATACGCCCCTGACCCTGCCGACCCCTCCCATTAACCATAATCTGCTTGTGTTGCATAGAAAAGCACAGAGACAGTGATGACATCATTGGCTATAATATAAAATGTGCAATAAAAACAAAAACGTTATATTTAAAAATGTCATTATCATGTTGATGAGGAGAGGAAAGAATCAGGGAAGGCAAAATATCAGCAAATTACACTTCAGCCAGGGGCGGACTGACAACTCATGGGCCCCCGGGCAATAGGGGATCATGGGGCCCCTGTGTCCTTGCCCAAACTCAAAAAAGCCTATGAAAAAGGTACCAGGAGCATCTCATGGGGCCCCCTACTGACCCAGGGCCCTCGGGCAGTGCCCGAGTTTCCAAATGGTCAGTCCGCCCTTGAACACTACCTCCTCCTAATGATCCATTAACCCCTTGATGCCGACCCATACGCAAATATGCGGCTTCTCGGCGGCTGGGCCTTGTTGCCGAGCGGCCTCATATTTGCGTACCATTTGAAAACACATATGTGCTGAGAACACACACCCTGCACACTCACACCACATATGTCAGTGTCTCACGGAAAGGTCCTGATCTCCCCTTTCGATCGGGGACCTTTTCTGATCATATGACCGCCGTGACAGCGAATCACGACGGTCACATGACCCTAAAACCCAGCCCCACCTTCCGGCATCTGTGAAACCCCTTAAATGGCTGGGAAGAGGTTAAAAAACATCCTCCCTTTGACATCCACCTGACAACAATTTGCATGCCTAGCTGTCATTGATAGCCGTGGTCCCCTCTAATGATTGGGAAACAGTTTAGCGAGGTTCCTGATCATGTGATCACAAGGTCAGCTGTAATGCAGGCCATAGACGGGTCGAAAATCGGCCGATTTTTCTTTTAAAAAAAACGAAAAAATCGGTCGTTCAAGTGGCCGACGTTACCAGCAACAGTAAAAAAATCAGCCGATTTTCATCCCGTCTACAGCTGGCAAAAAGTGTCCCTGCAGAGAGCTCCGCTATTTCTTTGACAGTTCCTTGACATTTATAGCGGTTGCAACAATGTATCTATTTGTATCCATTCAGGATACAAATGTTTTTATTCGGAAACAAATAGATACATTGTTGCAACCGCTATAAATGTCAAGGTACTGTCAAAGAAATAGTGGAGCTATCTGCAGGGACACTTTTTGCCGGACTGGAATTCTCTTCTTCTTCTTCATCTTCTTCTTCTTCCTCTTCATCTTCTTCATCCTCCTCTTCTTCTTCTTCATCCTCCTCTTCTTCATCTCCTCTTCTTCTTCTTCATCTTCATCTTCATCCTCTTCTTCTTCATCCTCTTCTTCTTCATCCTCTTCTTCATCCTCTTCTTCATCCTCTTCCTCTTCTTCTTCATCCTCTCTTCTTTTTTCTTCTTTTTGTCTTCCTCTTGCAGGTCACGGCTCATGCGCAGATTTTTTTTAATCGGTAAAAGATCGGCCGATTTGCCCATCATTGCCGCGAAAATTGGACGATCGACAAAATCGGCCGATTTTTTTCCAACTTTACCAATAAAAAAAATCTGCCAAAATACCGAAAAAATGGCCGAACATTTAGCCCACTAACGATCCGAAAATCGGCCGATTTTCGACCCATCTATGGCCTGCATAAGATTGTGAGTTGAAGGCTCCATTCAAAGGGGGGGGGAAAAACAAAAAAGAAACGTTTCAGTTTGCAGCGACCACTGCAACCTATAGCTGGCATTACCATTCTTGGGAGGACTGACCCTTTAAATTTTGTCTGCAGAAATGTGTAATTGCTGGTAATATTGTATCTCTGATAGAAGACAATTCTGCCTTTGTTCCGGCCTGCATCTCCTGTATCTGCGGGGAGACTTCTCACCGGCTGCCTAGGAAGGAGGAGCGTGATTTTGGCTGCTGCTCATGGCTCTCCCCCACCTCTGCTTTCTCCTGCTTTCCTGTTGACACCTGTGTGGATACTGAGATGTACTAGACACCGGCCTCGCTGCAAATAGCTGTGAGCGCTCGCCGGCTTTCGCATGACTTGCTCTGCACACCAATGTCGGCCTGTCAGATGCTGTTTACACTGTCTGAACGAACATTAGCCCTGCGGCGATAGCTGTAACTTTTTTCCCCTTTTGCATTTTTATTCTGAGTTAATCTACAGAAAGCCGGCGAGCGCAGGAGACAGTAGAGTCAATTCGCTACCCTTTTGTTTTCTTCATCTTCGCCGTTATTTCATTGATAGACCCGTTTTGTAGCTGCCGTGCAAAAGGCGATCAATTCACAAAACTCAATAAGACGTCTTGTCTGGCAAAATTATCTTAGGTTCACATCTGTGCGGGGTGGTGCCGCTGCGCATCCGCATGAAAATCCACACAGAGGACTGCGGACCCGCGGGCGGGTGACATTAGTTCTAATGGCACGCCGCCCACACTGGAAAACGCAATCATACCGGGAACCTCGGCTGCGTTTTCCAAAGAAGTGCGGGTACTTCTTCCCTGTGTGTCATGGGGCACGGGAGTCCATTCAAATGAATGGGCTCTCATGCCCGAGGAAAACGCGGCTCGCAGGGCCGTATATATGTGAACCGGGGGTTAGACTTCTTTTAGATAGCAGTTTTTAAAGTTTTTCCTAATGGAGCTCGTCCAAGAGTGCTCTCCCAGGTTTTCTGGTTGCTATTATTATTATTTTAGGTACTTATATAGTGCCATCAATTTACGCAGCACTTTACATATATATTGTGCATTCACATCAGTCCCTAACCCTCAAGGGGCGTACAATCTAAGGTCACTAACCCTCAAGGAGCGTACAATCTAAGGTCCCTAACCCTCAAGGAGCGTACAATCTAAGGTCCCTAACCCTCAAGGGGCGTACAATCTAAGGTCCCTAACCCTCAAGTAGTGTACAATCTAAGGTCCCTAACCCTCAAGGGGCGTACAATCTAAGGTCCCTAACCCTCAAGGGGCGTACAATCTAAGGTCCCTAACCCTCAAGGGATGTACAATCTAAGGTCCCTAACCCTCAAGGGATGTACAATCTAAGGTCCCTAACCCTCAAGGGATGTACAATCTAAGGTCCCTAACCCTCAAGGGGCGTACAATCTAAGGTCCCTAACCCTCAAGGGGCGTACAATCTAAGGTCCCTAACTCACATTCATACATACACATACTAGGGACAATTTAGACAGGAGCCAATTAACCTGCCAGCATGTCTTTGGAGTGTGGGAGGAAGCTGGAGTACCCGGAGGAAACCCCTTATGACCACACAGGTCATAAGCGAAATCTCCTGCGCTCAAGGACTCAGGCGGGTGGCGAATAGATGGAACCAGACCTGGAAAGATCAACCACCAATGCATGTAGAGTTGTGCAGCTCCAAATAAGGCTGGGGAAGCCCGACCAATACTGCAAATTGAAACAAAAACGAGAAGCGCACCAACCTTGCGCATTACCTCAGTAACCAAAGTTTATGAATTATAGAATAATACTCACAAACAGTGAATAAACTCAGGCATATAGGTCCTCAAAGGGACCTGAAAGATAAAGAGCCAGCATGGATCCCATCATGGGGGTAGATATTCAGTACTGCTGATGCGTTTCGAAGGGCATCCCTTCTTCATCAGAGCTCAGGGATGCCCTTCAAAACGCATCAGCTGTACTGAGTATCTACAGTTGTGGCCAAAATTATTCAACCCCCAATGCTGTAAAGGGGTTTAGGGACTATAGTGTACATTTGGAATTGTATTCAGAATCAAATCCTACAAGGACGTTGTAACTACCCAAATGCAACTAAAATGACATCAATTGTTTATGTAATACAGTAGTAAATGGTTCTTATGTGGTTTCTTCATTGCCACAATTATTCAACCCCTTAAAGACTACCACTCTGAAGAACAGAGGTTCATACAGGTGCTTTCCATCAGGTATTGAAAACACCTGTGGATGTCACCGAGCAGCAATCAAGCATAATAAGCACCAATTAGGCAGCTTTAAAATGACTGTGATACTCAGCTCCTTCTAGACATTTACTGGTGTGGTTACAAACATGGTGAAGGCAAGAGAATGGTCCAGGAAGACAAGAGAAGAGGTGATTTCTCTTCACAGGAAGGGCAATGGCTATAAGAAGATTGCAAAGATGTTAAACATACCAAGAGACACCTTAGGAAGCATCATTCGCAAATTCAAGGCAAAGGGCACTGTTGAAACGCTACCTGGTCGTGGCAGAAAGAAGATGCTGACTTCGACTGCTGTGCGCTACCTGAAGCGTAGAGAGTGGAGAGAAGTCCCCGTGTGACTGCTGAGGAACTGAGAAAAGATTTGTCAGATGTGGGTACAGAAGTTTCAGCCCAGACAATAAGACGCACACTGCGTA